ATAGAAAATAATCAAAGCAATGTGCAGCTAACCATGAAGAGGGGAGAGGGGAAAGTGTGTTTAAGGGAGAGGGTGGTCCAGGGGTCAGGAGCTACTTAGCAAACATCAACACCTGTTAAGGGTTACACTCGAGAACAAAGCTGCAAATTGGCTGGTGGTAAGTGCAGCTATGGCTAAGGGCAACACGACCCACGCCTCCAAAAACCCAAGCCACCCACCCATCAACCCACTAGAAGCAACAGCTACAACAACATCTAATCAATTTAACACAGAGCGTGTGAGAGAGAGAGAGAGAGAGAGACGGGTATACACACAGCGAAAGAGACGGGACGAAGGAAATTCTGCTGACCGCAGGCATTGGAATTGTTCCGGGTCCTGGCGATGCCATAGAAATGGCCACGGACGTAGAAGTGGACGTGGAACATGGACGAAAGGGCATTGGTCGTCCGAAACTTCATTATGAGATTTGTGTAATTGTTAACCAATTTACCGTTACGTTTTGCATGCCACAAGCAAGCAAAAGCGGCCAATCGGCCTTCCCTCCTACCATTCCCGGTCATCTCGATAACGCCCGTGATATATTGTCCAAATTATAATGCCGGAAATGTTATTAATTCAAAGCGTAACTCAATTCCTGGCCACTAATTACGATGTTGTTGCGTTGATGATGATAATGACGCCGAGGACGAGTACGAGGACGCTGACGATGCCTGCAGCCATCAGCATTTACATTCAGCCCGATTCCAGAGATTCTCTCTCTATATATACACATATATATATATATTTATTTATTTATATATATGTCAAAATGGTATTTACATATTTCTGCCATTTTACTTGTCAGTGGCTGCAATTATGCCAATTGCTCATGCAACCGGAGAAAGCAGGCTTATACCACAAACACACAGTACTAATATTTGACATTTGAATGGAATAATCGCAGAATGCGGTTCCATTTATATTTGTTTTCGAATTATGCCCAAATTCAGACTCTCAAAGGTATTGCTTTTCATCTATGCCGCTCAATTAAAGCATTATAGCTGCCATTTAAGCCATGAAATTAATATTTAATTGGTGTCAAAAAATTAAATGAGCGACCTTAATTTTGATTCTCAATATCCTAGAGAAATATTCAATTAGTTAAAATCTAAATTGGGTTTTTTTTTAATCAAATCATGAACCATATATCCTGACTCTGATGGGGATTATAAACCCCCTTCCAGCAGACATAAATATTTACCTTTGCCCCCACCTTAAACCCCTCCATTAATATGACTTTTATAGTCTGCTAGCCCAACACTGTGCAACATAACCGGTGTTAGCCTAATTAAAAATGCCAAATGTTGTTGGCACAGCCGCTGGCTAAATGGAAATTATTATGCATTTCCACTGTGTTGCACGGCTGGCGATGACAACCAGCTAATGCTGCCAGTATTGCCAGGGATTTGGCCCAGTTTGGATTACATACCCGTATATACCCCCGATTCGTTTTTTCCAACTGAAATGACCTTTAATTGTTTGATGGCTCACACACATGGACGGTGGCAGGCTCAAAAACCACTTTCGCTTATTGGAAAGGATGCAGGAGAGCTGGTTTATTGATCGGCGGAATGCTTTTAAGACGCGCGCATAAAAATAATAATGATGCCGCGGCGTGGTGTCAAAGGGGCAAAGGGGCAAAGGGAGAAGCAGAGGCAGCTGCACATAGAAATAAATATTTATATGGGCGGCATCTATAAATTGAATGGCGAAAGGGTTGCCGCCAACCCCTTCGCGAAAAACTCAGGTGAGACAGGCGGGACTTATGGGCTTTGGGCCAACATACACACACACAGTAGCAGCATTTGGACCTGGACATTTTTACGATGTGATTTCACATAACCACAACAGACGTGCAGACAAACAGCAGGAGCAGAACGGGAGGGCGCAGGACGAAGGACGAAGTAGCGGAAAAGACGACATAAGTTGCAGACGCGCGTTGGTGATAAACTTTGAAATTGCCAGGACGAAGGGGGCCAGCTCGGGAATTTATTACCCTCCAGCGGCATCAAGGAGCTCTCCACACACACACATCCTTCGAGAAGCACAAGCGGATTCTAATAAGCAAAATGCGCTGTCCTGCAGCAGGAATCGGAATTATGGGGCATTACCCAAGGAGCAGCCTTAACCCTTGTTTACCACTCTTCTAACCATTCCCTCTTTCCCCAGAAATCTGGCAGTCTGACAATCACCCATCGTTGTAAACCCATAGTTGCGGCTTGATTTCGATGCCATGCCAAGCATAACCAAGGCATTAATTTTCCGAGAATCACAAGGCTAGAAAATATATAGATGTCCTTTCGCTGATTTTGCAAGTGTCAGCGTGAAGATGGGCCACCCACTCGAGTTGAGTTGAGTTGATTTAATTCAATTCATGGACAGACAATGATTGTGTCAATTGCCGCATGTTTATCATTGTGACAGCCAAACTTGGCACTGTCCCGGCCAAAATCTTGGCACACAAGCCCGAGACCACAAACCCAATAGAGGCAGGAGTCACAGCTACACAGTCACAGCGGAAATTGTGGAAATTGTATGTAAGCGTATTAGTTTGGCAATTGTGCAAGTGTCACGCTGGAAAACCCTTTCTCTAGCTGGAGGGAAATCTGGTTGGTTTAGTTGCGAAAAAATGAAAGAATCGAAGGGTCATTATGATCTCATAGCAGCAAATTGACATATTCTGGGTCTCATTCATATCAGTCCTTCAACCAATGGGGTTGGGAGGCATTGTAAGTAATGTGATATGTAAGTGTATAAATAAAATCATGTGCCAACGGTATGTAATGTTCAATTACATGATATTAAGTTAAAGATTTAGGAAAACAAAGTCGTTGAAAGATTAGTAAAACGTCCTATGTTTCTCTGGTTACCATGTCTATGTTTTAAAGAACAAACAGATAGCTTTTAACCAACTTAACTGAACTTTTTCATTGGTAAAATCGATTTAACTTTTACAGATGCGCAAATCTATATCATATTTTACCATACTCGCCAAATATTGTTTACAAAGAACGAGTCTATCTGTATTCTTTACCAGCAAAATTCGACACTTAAAATTTGACCACAAGCAATAAATGGTCATCATTTTGAATCTACTTCTAGAAATAAATATTGAAAATAGTAAAAATAATAATTATCAAATATACTTTATGAAATTTAGTTTCAGCTTACTGGCAAGTTCTCTCTCTCATTTCTCTCTAGCATTTGAATAGTTCCAAGGGGGATGATATTAATCATGGAAACAAGGTGTGTAAAAAGCGATATTTGTTATATTATTGGATATATTTTAATTCTTATAATGTAATATATAATTTTATGAATCGAAATAGGGTTTTATGTTAAATTTGCTATCCTCTTTCCGAAGCACTCAAATCTTTGTTCTTCCTGAGGCGTTTACCTATACAATGAAACCATTGCCGAGTTTGTCACACACTTTCTGCCTTAGATGACCATGTTGCCAATTAGGGGGTTTTTTCTTGCCAGTAAGGGCTATATAGCAGCTCACCCAGGGGTACGATTCAGGGCAGGTTTTCAATTACACATTATGACTGCTGCACGGTTCTGCCCCAAAACTGCAGTAAAATTTCACCTACCCCGAAACTCTCCCTCGCTCTTTTACACACACCAACACTCAGACATTTGGAAGAAATTGGATTTGCGACTGGTGGCTTTAGCCAGCTATTTCTTTTTGGCCATTTCCCTTCCGTTTGCATTTGGCTCGCTTTTTATGGGCTAACCGGTTCACCCCGCAGTCGAAGTTCCCGGCCCGTTGACTTTTATGAACTTATAAACAAGAGCCAGGGCAACCCTTTCGGCCTGTTGCTGCCACAGCTACTTCCAGTGCTTATTATGTGGATTATTAGAGGGATTTACTCGCTGCCATGTACAAATTCATGTGCTCCAACTTGGATTCCGGCTGCCGGCTGTCGGCTGTCGGATGCTAGCTGCCGACTTCGCTTCCTTCGCTCTCACTTGGTCTTGGTTTTGGCATCAATGACATAAATAAAAAGATTTCCAAAGGATTTGCCTGTGGGACACCGCACCCAAACACCAAAAAAAAACAAAAATAAAACACCCTCGGCATTGAAAAGCCAAGACAAACCGAAAGTTTCTTCCTGTCCCGTGAAAATGTCGAGGTGTGTGGGTGTGATTTACCCGGATGCCAAGAGCTAAGAGCTCTGCCAAGTCAGTGTTGATCTCGGCATTGCCATAAATTGATAACCGGAATATAAATGTATATATAGAGAGGGAAATGCTTACATTGTTGACTCAACTGGCCATTGATAAGCCGCTTTCTCGCCCGGCGTAAACAATGACGTGTGCTGGACTTTCACTTCCAGTGGCCTGTTTGGCTGGCAATTGTTTATAAAATAGATGAGTTACGAAGAGTACCCTGTAATACGGTTTCTATAGAAATTCTTAAAAATGCAGAATAAAAGAAACTGACAATATCAATATATTATTTATCATATTTTTGGAGACATTTTTTAGTCGATTTTAAATGTTATAATGTTTTAGTAGTTCATTATCCTTCTTCACTTTGGCTCCAATGTCATAATCATATCTAGGAACTATCTTATACTTCCTTACAAAGTGATAGGCTTAACCCTATCCCATTTCCAACAGGGTATCAAATCTAATTTGAATAACTTATCGACCAGATGCTCTCGTTTCCCAGATAAGCTCGATCGACTTCCTCAACCTTTAAATCACATGTTTAACCCAATTAAATAACATCAATTAGCATTGCAGAGTGTCAAAGGCAGAAAACCATTAAAATACTATTTATTGAAAATGTCAATAAAAGGTTTAATTTCAATTAAAGAATAAATTGCTAAAGTAAGATAATAATTCAATTAGGTCTATTGCAACTTTGCGGTGTCAATCAAGAGTGTTTCACTTTGATAGATGGCTAATTAATGTGGCAATGCAAGGCACATGTGGCTGCAGTCTGGGGAGCATCAGGTGAGCTGCCTGGCATTTCGGAGCACCCTCAGGCGCGAGTACACGATGTCCCAGTCGATGAAGGCGCCCAGAATGTGGCGCACATTGTGCTCCGTATCATCGTAACCGGTTCGTCCGTGAACCAGTCGCAGATTGTTAAACGTGAGCACGTCGCCGGGCGTGGTCTTGAATCGGGACGAGTGCTCATGGGCCAAACCCACAAAGGTCGCCATCGCCTCATACCACGGACGCACCTGCTCCACAGGCACGCTGAAGTGGCTGTCGCGCTGCGGAATGCTGTGGTTGATGCGCATACACTGCCCCTCGGCGTCCAAGCTGCAACGTTATTCGAAGTAGGGGTTTGATTAGCTGGAATGATTTATACAACAACTATTTATGTTTCCCCTTGAAAAATATGTTTCTCCGCTATTAAGAAATATTCGAATTATTAAGGTAAGACCAATATATATTGTCCTGAGAAGAACAAACTTAATGTGCAGACGAAGACAGCAATTAACTACGACTTGGGAAATGGCAAGAATTATGTTAGTAACTACTACTCTCCAAATTTACTCACTTGATCACCGGTGCCCTCCAGATATTGTGGAACTTAAGATCACCGTCGCTGCCAATATCCGCCCAATCCACAGGAGTCTGGCAGAGAACACGGAACTGCTCTGGATATCGATCCCGCATCATTTCTGCCACATAAAAGGCATCGGCTAGCAGATTGACTCCACCCGGAGAAGCTGACTGTTCCAAGGTGTGGAGCATGGTTACCCCAGGCAGATACTCCAAGTAAGGCATGTCTGTGTGGAGAGGAAGAGGGGCTGCTAAATAGGCGTAATTACTGGCTCCGGGTTGAGCTCGAACACTGAATTCCTCTCCATAGGTGGTGCGTCTCATGAATCCAACTCGATTGGATAATCTTCGAAGGACATCCATTTCCAGAGGAGCGTCCTTCACCATAGCTACTCCATACACTGCCAGGTGGTAAAGCCATTGTCTCAGTGCGGCATCACAGCTGATCAATTCTTCGTAGTAGAAAACTTGACGAATTTGCTCAAAAGTCCTGTCCGCTCCACAATATCTGCTCCGGGCGATAACATTCGCGCAGGTAACGCTGGCGATTTGCAGGTGAGAAGTCCCGTTCCCTCAACCAACTGAAAGGATACTGGGAAGCGTGTCCATCGGACCACTCTATGAACAGGATCTTCTGATCTCTATCCACACTGTGCCGCAGAACCCGGACACTTGTGTCCAGGTTGTTCCACAGCTGGGGCAACCTACTCAAAGTCTGTGGCAGAAAGCACTCCTTGCAAAGGCAGTTATCACGTAACCAGATGTCCGGAAAGTACATGTCCTCCCGATCAGGATCTGGAACGTGGACCAAGCGGGGCTGATCCTGCTCCTTCGGTGCACTTAGCTTGGGTGGCTGGTAAGCCACATCTCGGCGTTCCGCTTGGAACATCTTCAGCAACCAACGAATAGGTCTTCCGATTGCGGAATGATTTGTGGATCGGGAAGCGAGCAAACAGCCCACCCTCTGGGGTACGTGGCCAAAAAGATAGACCCGATTAATGATCGCGTGAGGTTCACATCTTAGGCTACACTGTAAAAAAAAACTTTCAAAATATTAGTTGACAAGATAATGCAAAACCGTGTTTAAATTCAAACCTTTTTAAGTTGAAAATTATTATTTCATGTCTTTCCTATTGATATCATAACTTTCTTTTTTAATGATTTTGTATATAAAAAATTCTATTAAATATTTTTGAATAATTTCTTGCATGTTACGTTGCTCATTAAAATATTATATTTGTTTACGCCCATATTACTTTATAAAGCATTTACTTTCATAAATAAATTTTGAAAAGGCTGAAACTTTTCTTTGAAAAAATAGCCTAAGTTAATTAGCTGACTAAGTACTAAAATTTCTTTTTCAAGTGCACGACAATCTAAGTCTAGTCTTATCAATCCTTTGTGAACAGTGCAGAGTTGCTGTCGCAGCGTTTTGCGTGGCTATATGTTGGTGTCTCCCCTCGCTTTAAGGCCCCGACGCCGGCGATGTAAAATTAAAAATGCAAAATTAATTTCTGGATAAAACTGCAAACGCCTGCGATTTTGCATAATTGTTTGTCAGCTGCAGCTGTGCGGAGGGGGAAGAGCGCCATCTTCGACAGCCTTTTCATGGCCCTCCGAAACCCCACTCCCGGATGGCGCTGCCCCGGGGAAGTGCCGTCAATCATTGTTAGGCGCATTGATCACTTCATTCACATTCGTATTCGCATTCGCATCCACAGCAATGCTGATTGCAATGCGAATATCCTGCCGTGGCAGTGGCAGCGGCAGAAAATCATAAACAATAACCATTTCATGCCGGGGAAAACAACGGGCATAAGAATCGGCAACAACAGTATCTGTTAACCAGTATATATGGCGCGATTTTTAATTATCACTTTCGCATTCGCATTTTGTGTACGAGTATTGTCTGCCTCGAAAACGACTCGTATCTATCCATCTACATTTCCATTTCCACTTCCACATTTCTCTTTTCCATTTCCATGGTAGGGCCTTTTACGCCTCGAACAAAGAAAGCGAACCGAACAATCCATCGAATGCTCAGCTTTTAGCTTAGATTCAGATTCGTTACAGCGGGTTAGGGTATGTGAAAAGTATTTATGGGGACTATGAGTACTACAGGTGCGTTTTATTTTAAGAATAATTCAAAAATGTAAAGTAAATATAGAAAACGGATTTGTAAGCGTCATGATTGAAAGTTTTTCGGCGTTTTAACAATTGAAAATTGGCTTAGTAATTAAGTTAAAAATGTAGACATCAAACACTCAAGAATTGCATTTCCCAAACTCCCCTTTAGCCCACGTCTAACCCCCTAAAAAGAGCATCGAAAATGAATGAGAAATCCTTGGCAACTTCTACATTTAATGCATTGTTTGGGAGTGGAGGAGTCCCAGTTTTCCCCCAGCAGAACTTTATTGTTTTCAATTAAAAACACTCACAGCCCATTCAGCTAACGAATCCATTCGCTCGGCAGTTTTCAGAGCGGGCATTCATAGGCTCGAAAGCTCGAAGGCAGCGAAAGCCGGCGACATGACACAATTGCAGATGCAAGTGAAATGTAATGAGGTGTAATGAAAATGCATTCAAGTGACAGTTTTTCCATTCCATTCGCCGGGCTCCTTTCGCCAGTCGCCCACCTGCACTTAACAATAATCAAGAACAACAATAGTAACAAAAATATCGATGAAAACAGCGATGAGTAATGAATTTCTTCAAAAAAAGAAGAAGGAGTTTGTCAAAGCATAGAGTTTGCTCATAAAATGATCTCAGAGAGAGTATTTTAATTTGATTTTATTGAAACGAAAACAAGCAAGCAAACTCTTTATCCAACAACCGATCAAAACAGACCGCAAATTATGCAAAAACATCGAGTGCAACACTTATGAAAATTAAACGGAACCCACAGGAACCGCAACATATCCAGCGAAACAATGCCCAAACCGAAATTGAAATTATTTATTTTCGCCACCCATCAAATAACACACAAATAAATCAGTTCCAAAGTTACAACAGCGCCGAATTTAAATCCCCGTAAAATATTCATAAAGCCAGCAAACAAAAAAATTTGAAACGGAAGTGAACAGGTGAGTGAACCCGGGGATGAGTGGAGTTAACAATGCCCGTCTAACTGAGTGCCACAATGGCTAACGCTTTGGGCCTAATTAGCCTCGTGGGTGGGCGATGAGGATTTTGGATTTTCGGCTATCCATGACAATGCCAGAACGCATAATTAGGCAGAAAGCCCGACTCTCGAGAATGGGCCCAAATTGGTCTTGGGCGTATTGTATTTCCGTCCGGCCGTAGAAGAAAACCTCTAGCTCAAAAAAATGTAAGCCCACCTTCGCAATACTTGGCGAGGCAAAGTGCAGTAAGTAGCTGCGGCCACTGTGGGACACATAAATAAATACGCCCACGAAATCCGTAAATATGATTAAGTGCCAAATTTATTTACAGCTCCCTGGTTGCCTTTAAAAAACCAAAAGCAGAAGCCAGCCAACAAAAAATGTACAGTATATATAGAAACGTTAGCAGACGTAAGCCGAAGTCACCATTACCATCTTCCGGCAGTGAAAAGGTAGCCAGGTGCAGGCGCCTTCTGCTTCTTCTTCTTCTTCTTCTTCTTCTGGCCAACTCGATTACAATTACGTGCGCTAATTGCACTTTAAACGCGTCCGAGCTTGCCAAGCCATCCATCCGTCCGTCTTTCCATCCGTCCGTCCGACGGTTTGCTCACTGCCCGCACAATTCTGTTTCTCATTTTTATGGCATTTCCTTTGGCCCAACTTACAACTATATAAATTTGCAAACATGATGTCCTTGGCTAGGACTCTTTTCGTCCTGCTCAAAACCCTTACGACTCCCAGCCCGTTCTGGCTCTCGTATTGTAATAGCCCGGCTGCCAAGGCTACCAAGTCATCGTCACCGCCGCTGCCGTAATTCAAAGTGACGCTAAATTTAGTTTAATACAGACACGGAACAGTGGGCAAGGCAGGAGTGCTTTTCACTGGATTTAAATAAATTTAAATTTGAAATAAGATTCTCTGCTCATTTTACATCTTAAATGAAACTTCAGACTTAAAATAATCACTTAAAAGAAGTCTGAAGTATATCATCGAAGTTAGTGTTATCTTGATGATAAAAATAATATCATCGGAGCTATATTTAGCATCAATTCAATAAAAACAAACATATTTAACTCTTCACAAAACTAATTTTTATCATATCTCAATTAGCTACTGCAAACCACTGTGCCGGTGAAATAAATACAAAGCTGTCTTCTTAGTCGGCAGCAAGTGGCCCTTATAATGGGCCAAGGCGTAAGTCCATGTCTGGCTGCCTGTTCACCTGGCTGACTTTCAGCCCACATCCCATCCGCATCCACATTCACATCTTAACCCATCTCACTCACCTGCTCCATGGCAGTTGGTTCTTTTGCTCATTTACACCTTTTATTACGTATGCGTGCGTCGGTGCAAAAGCAAAGTTTGCAGTTTAGTTTGCCATTAACGTGGCCATAAGCGCTGGCCACCCCGATATGTATGCCATTCCTTCCACTTGCTTGCTATTCATATGCAAATAACGCCAGCGAGGTGTGCCTCGAGAGTTGTATATATCCGGAATATCCAAGCACTTTGAAGTTTCCAAACCATCCGGGCTAAATCAAAGTCTCTAGCATGCGCTCATGCCTCAATGCATTGTAATTGTTTGGTTGTGCGTGTGTGTGTGTGTGTGGGAGTGTGTGTGTGTGGGAGTGTGGGAGTGTGTTGTCAAAACTGAAGTTCACAACGTCGTCTTTTTCTTGAGAGCATATATGTACACTGGGAAAGAGTATATATTTTATAGAGTAATTCCCATTTAATACAAAATCCTTCAAAGTCTTTTAAAAATATATTCAAAAAGATTGATTAATTATAATTGCAATTTATCATCTGAACTTGATTTTAAAAATCCCATAAAATATTTAAATAATTTGCGCTTTTTTAAGTCCACCTTCTTTTCCAGTGTCATTATAAAGTCTAACATGTGTGTATGTGTGTGCGTGGGCTGGCTTGCGGGCAAAAGTTTTTAATGTGAAAAGTGCAAAGGAGAGTGCAACCCTCATGCGAGAAGCATGTCATTCTCTGTCGCCCGCACGGCAACCCCCTTTTTGGGCCATGGCCCGCCACGTCACTGCATTTTAATTTACTGCATACCTTGAGGCGCCATTCGCCTGCGCTCGCAGTCCAAGTGGCAAAGTCCAATGTACGCTCCTCCACTAGAAAGAAGCTGACTTGTTGCCTTCCTTGGCGCACAGATGCACACCCTCACACACGGCCACACTCACACCCTTGCAGATGTTCCACCCCTCGTGACAAAGTGGCGCTGCGTTTTGCATTTTACTGCAAATTAAAGGATTTCTTTTGCCTTTCGAGTTGACAACTTAAGATACTTAGGCATAAAAAGCCTGTCATACATGTCTGCCCTCATAAGAGTGTATGGGTGTGTGTGAGTATGTGTGTCTATGTGTGCGTAAAGAGAATTAAGTGCAGTGCGCTTTGTTGAGAATCACTCGAAACAAAAGCCACAGGATACTGCTGGCCCCTCCTGCATTTCTTTGGCCAACCCCACTTTTGCTGACATGCGGGGTCGCCCTGTCAATCCACCAACCCATTTTTCGATTTCCAGATTTCCAGCACCTTTCTCGCCTGCGTCGTCGTCCATTTTATTATTTTGCCTTGATTATTATTTTCCATTTGCGCAAAATTAAAATACCCCCCACAACAACAGCAACACAATGACAACACACAATTTTTTGGGTGAAAAAATAAGAGGAAATAGAAAAAATTGCTGGCTCCATTCAACCGCAAAAAGGGAAGAAAAAAGTCTGGGGTTGGGCGGGCGGTGCATGAA